GGCCCGAGATCCTGACCTTCGGAGGGGTCCAGGCGGCGCGCCCTGCGGCCGTGCTTGGAGTTGTTGTGCACAAACATGTTGTCGGACACCGCCAACACGTGGCCGTCCACGCTCACCGTCGTGGACACCACCACCTGCGGGGAGAGCCGAGGCCAGGCTGGCGGGGCTCGGGATGGACTGGGGCTGGAAGCGGGAACTCAGTGGCCTGGTAGGATGGGGAGACCAGGGCTCAGGCCCCCCCTGACTGGGCGCCCTGAGAGGGTGGGAAGGGAGCTACATCCTGGGTCAGGCATCACCCTCAGACTGCCTAGAAAAAATGCCCTCTGTAGTATTAACTAAGAGACAGGGGTGGAGGGGGTTGGGGGTGGGGTGTCTCTGACTCTTTGGGCCAAAAGGGACTATTCTTTTTGCACGCCCAGCTTCCTGGGTTATATCCAAGGGGCAGAAGCAGAGTTTTCGACAACTGGGAGTGAAGGGCTGGATGGGGAGAGCCAGAGTGGGCAGCGGTGGGGGGTAGGGGGCTTCAACTGAAGCTCCCCCACAGTTCTGGGGAGGAGACTGGGGCTGCCCCCTTCTCCCCCCTCCCCCTGAACTAGGAGGGGTGTGCAGGTTGGGGATGTGCTAAGGGCAGCTGCTCTCTGCTTCACGCTATGCAAATTACCCAGGTCGTTAATCATGTAAAAATGTCACAATTAGCATCTTCTTAAGTGGGACTCTAATGAAGCCTCCCCTGGCAGCCAGCAGAAGTTGAGAAGGGACCGCCCCACCCCCAGCAGGCACCAGGCGCCTCAGCACAGGCCTGGGACGAGCTCTACCCTTACACCCTTCCCTCCCTCCCTCCCAGGCCACCCCTCTCCCCTGGGAAGGGCAGGTCTGCAGGGGAGGCCTCTCCCCCGGCCCACCTGGAAGCGGCGCATGTCTCGGGGATTCCCCGCATTCTTTAGGCAGTTCTGGTTGCACTTGAGGAAGAACTTGAGGAAGAACCTGGAACAGTTTGGTTAGTGCCCTCAAGGGTCTGGGGTGGGTGGGGTGGAGGTGGTTCTGGAAACAGATGGGAGATTCCACGGCTCCCTGCCAGGGCCCCTCCCAGGAGGGTGTCTCCATCGGCCGGCCTGCCAGCTCTAAGACAGGCACCAGCCCCCATATTTCCATCACAAGCTGCAAAGCCACAGTGTGCCCGACACACAACACACGTGGAGTAGACCCCTCACACGCGGAGGACATTGCTACACACGGTGGTCACTTGGAACCACAAAGTGTATACCCATCCTACATCCCCGAACCCAAATCCACTGCCAGCGGGTCGTTGAGGACACAGAGTGACCCTGTCTATACAGGGTTTCAGAGGCCGTCCATCTTTATGGGATCTTCCTCCTGCAGAGTGGCTGGTGGGTTTGCGCTGCTGACCTCTCCACACATGCACGATGTGTAGTCTTCAAAGGAGCATGCACTGTGTGTATACTCTGCGTGCTATTTGTTGTTACGCATCTGTGAGTACCAACTCACAGTCGCCCTATGTACAAGAGAACATACACTGCCTGGTCCCGAATCATCCTCCCAATTATTCCTGTTTGAGCCTGCCGTGGTGGCCACTGGGCACTCCATCTTTCGGGAGTCTTCCTCTCTTTCTGCTGACCCTCTATTACTTGTCAATTATACCCAAGACACTGTATACTTATCACAGGTAATGTGTACTCCATATGTCCAACCTGAAGTTATCACAAACATGTCTGTGATAACTTTACATCACACACACATATACACTCCACATGGTATATACCTACCACACATACAGCACATCTAGCCTAGCATATCCTTCTCACAGTATACCCCTCACCCACACAATGGTGGGAATGGAATCTGCTATGTACAAGGAGGCTCTCATCATAGGCCATCTCTATGATCTGTACTCAGCACAGGGTGTATATTATATATACCGCATATGCCTTATATACTACCCACTGCCACAGAGTCAGTCAGTCCCGACTCCTTGGATTTCTGGGATGGGGGAAATCTTTACCAGAGCAAACAGCCTCATCTTTCTCCCACGGAGCAACTCTTGGGTTTCAACTGCTGACCTTGTGGTTAGCAGCCAGCTCACAAATATATACTCACAGAAAAATATGCCCACCACCTGAGGAGAGCCACCACACTCTGGGTCTTCCTTTCCCACGAGCACACGCAATATGTACTGTGCACACAGAGTATATGCGTCACACACATGTGGCCCACTCACCACACGGTGTCCATGCCCATCACACACAGCATGTGCAGAGCAGTGTTCCCCCTAATGCCCCCTCTCATGGTGTCTGTGATGACCCTGGCAGACACTGCACAGCCACCTCACACGCAGACCCCCCTCCCTGAGACCAGTCTTCTCCCCCATGTCAGAGCTCCCCTCGCATAGCCGACACCTTCCCAGAATAGATCTCCTCCCCTACAGCTGATCCCCTCCCACCTAGCAGATCCCTCCCCTCCACAATAGACCCCCCTGCCATGCAGCGGAGCCCCTCCATAGAGTGTCAGTGGTTACCACCTAATGCCACCACCCTTTAATACAGTTCCTCATGTTGTCATGACCCTCAACCATAAAATTATTTTCATTGCTACTTAATCACTGCCATTTTGCTACTGTTGTGATTCGGGCAGTCCCTGTAAAAGGTTCATTCAACCCCCAAAGGGGTCTCGACCCACAGGTTGAGAACTACTGGAGTAAATGATCTCCCTGACACATATCCTCCTGACTCACAGCACATTCCCCCAAGCACAAATAGATCCCCTCTCACAGAGCAGATTCCCCTTCACACAGCAGATCCTCCTGACATGCAGCACATCCTCCTCGCCCAGAGCAGACCCCTGTCACGGATGCAGATCTCCCTCACACATATTCTATTAATTATTCTCACAGCAAAAAAGTGAACCACCCAGTGCTTGCACTCACTGTACACAGGGTACCTGCCAGACCCACCTTACAGATAGATCAATACACAGTATCTTTTTCCCAGAGAGTAATTTGGAAAAAGCACACTATATGAGATGTTACAACAAAGTGCTAAGGCTGCTTTTTAGAATAAACCTTCAAGCATTTGCAGGCAGTTAGCTGGCTGGCATGGCCTTGGCCCCACCACCCAGCATCAAGGTAACAAGGTAACCATGGGCAACACGCTGGCTGCTGTACAGTTAGCAAATGCAGGATAACAGCAGTACCTGCCTTGGCCCTCACTTGACTGTGAGCCTTCAGAGAGGCACCCCGCAGCAAACTGTTGAGGGTGAGGCTACAGTGGTCCGTGTGTCCTGGCATGTGGCACAGCCTCCTGGATGAGCTCTTCCAGGCAGTGTCTGCCTTTCACCATGTCCCCTGCCACACCTTTAGACCCCAAACATAAATGCCTGTTTGACTTAAGTTTGCAAAAGTGAGATTCACTTTCAGAGGAAGATCTGCACAGGCTTGGAAAGCCCCTTCCTCTGAGAGGAGACCCCCTTCCTCAAGAGCTGGGAGGAGTGGGCACCACCCCTAGGGCAGAGGTATGTCTGAAGAGGCAGTTGCTTACTGGGAGCTGGTAGCAGTCACACCACCCCCAGGTCCTTACTTCTGTCCATACTGCTGACCCCTCTGCACCTGTCATCTTCCTGTTCATCTCTGGGAATCCCCTTTATTTCCATTCCACAGAGACATCACAGCCGCATCCATTTTTATCTACAGTAGAAACTTCTAGAAATATGTTCACAGAGTTTAGACGTTCTATATACCCCAACAGGACATTCTGAGGCACACACAGCAAGAGGTCCCAAACAGAGCACTCACATAGTTTAGAGACCCCATAAACTCCCTACAGGTTACTCTCACACACAGGCTACTTATATGGCCCCAAACAGGTATCACCATGGTATAGGTACCCTGTAGGTCACCCATATTTATGGATACCTCAAGTGCACCCACACAGGTGTAGCATCCAGTTATCTCTCATCATTGGCTACAGTAATCACTTGCATGCAAATATTCTTGTCACCACTACAGGACATCCCCTGTAGCAGACACCCCTACACCTACAGTAGTCACTTCACACATGTCCTACAAGTATATGACATATCGTGTGAGGGAGCTGTAACAATGGAATGAAAAGATCATGGAATTTTTCCATCAACTTTCTGAAGCCCCCCAGTGTAGATCCCCTAATCACACAGATGGTGCAGACCGGTTCATTTAAGTTCAGCTTTCATGTCCTTAGGCCTTTACCGGGGGCTAGGAGGAGGGCAGAGGCCAGGAGAGAACATGGTCCTTGTTCTTAAGAGGACTCATGCTAACTCTTGAATCCCGCTGGTGATGCAAAAAGCACAGGAATGCCCCAAAGATACGACACACACCTCTCTGACATGCACACACGTGCCCGCTATTCTCTGTCCTCATCCAAAGGGAAGAGGAAGGGTCTATGGGTGGGCTGGAAATGTGAGCTGATTCACTGTGTGGCCTGGGTAAACTCTTCTTTGTCCCTGCCATCTGCCCTTGTTCATGCATGGAGAGCCTGTGGAGGTGCCTTCCCGGGTGGCCTTAAGGGACATCCTTTACCGCAAACTCCCCATAGCGCTAGGCCTTGTGCCAGAGAAGCCTGCTCATTGTCTCTTCCCTGAGCTCTTGCTTCCACTTGTCTGTAGGTTTGTCATGCTGTGGTGTCACGTGTGTTGCTGTCACTGGTATTTCAAAAACCAGCAAAACCAAAGTAAACAGGTTTCAACAGAGCTTCCAGACTAAGAAGGAGGAATAGGCTGTCCACTTCAGAGGGATTAGCCACCGAGAACCTTCTGGATAGCAGTGAAACATTGTCACACACTGAAATCCTAAAGATTGAAAAAACAGAAACAAAGAAATAAAAAAAGAAGTAGTCGTAACTGAACATTGCCAGAGACAGGGCCAGAAGATGAGCCCTTCAGGTTGAAAGGAACTCAAAAGACGACCGAGGAAGAGCAGCCTTCTCAAAGTGGAGGTGATCATAATGGCATGGATAGATTCAGGCCGGCGGGAGCAAAGCCCTCAGGACCTTCATTTGTTGACAATGCTTGACTCGAAATGAGAAAACATAGCGGCCAACAGTTAATACTTGGAACTTGGAATGTACGGACTATGAATCTAGAAAAAATGGAATTTGTCAAAAATTAAATGGAAAGCATGAAGATTGATATTCTAGGCATTCGTGAGCTGAAATGGACTGGTATTGACAATTTTTGAATCAGAAATCATATGGCTTACTCTGCTGGGACTAAAACAATCAAGAAGAATGGCGTTGCATTTATCCTCCAAAAGGACATTTCAAGATCTATCTCGAAGTCTGTGATAGGGTAATATCTATCCCCATATAAGGAAATCCAATCAAAACAACTCGTATTCAAATTTATGAACCAGCTACCAAAGGTAGTGATGAAGTACTTGAAGGATTTACCAATGTCTTCAGTCTGAAATTGATCAAGCATGCAATCAAGATGCATTGATAATTATTGGTGAATGGAATGCAAAAGTTGGAAACAAAGAAGGAACATTATTTGGAAAATAGGGACTTGGTTATAGAAATGAAGCTGGAGATAACATGATAGAATTTTGCAAGACAAATGACTTGTTCTTAGCAAATACCTTTTCTCAACAACACAAAAGGCAACTATAAACATGGACTTCCCCAGATAGACCACCAAAATCCAATTGACTATATCTGTGGGAAGAGACTGATTGAGACGCTCAATATCAGCAGCTAAAACCAGGCCAGGATTATATGATACTCACCTTCCTGACACTATCACTGAAGACAAAATGGTTGCATAAGTAAATGTGGTGAAGAAAGTTGATGATGCCCGGCTATTAAAAGATATAGCATCTGGGGTCTTAAAGGCTTATAGTTAAACAAGTGGCCTTCGAGCAGGGAAGCAACAAAGCCCACATGGAAGAAACACATCAGCCTGTGTGATCATGAGGTGTCAGCAGGAAAAGGTATCAGAAA